CTTTTTTTTTTTTTTTTTTTTTTTTTTTTTTGCTAATTATCTACAGGTCAAATCGTGTCATTAAAGCTCGGTTACTAATCAAAAGTATATTCACTGTTACCATTAAAATCAGTATACTGTAGTAAGAGGATAAAAGAAAAAGCAATAACGGTGAGTGGTGAAAAAAAAAGTTGAAATTTTAAATTGTGTCAAGCAGTTTAAAAACTAGTTAAAATGTCTAAGATAACTTTTATTTGACGCTTAACTTTTTTTCCCCTTGCCGCCCAACAATTGTGCCGCTGTCATAAAAAAATGGAAAAATATGTTTTGCAGATTTCACGAAAAGAAGCCACAGTGTGCGGACAATTTATAGCATTTCATACAGACTATTCTAATGGTACTGTGGCTGTCCGAGGAGACCGACAGCTAGATGCTGATTCTATAGCCTACTGGGAAATTAACGTCCCACATCGATTATTTGGTACATCAGTGATGTTCGGTGTTGGCAGCAAATTAGCAAAGGTGGTTGCTCAGTGTGTCCTTAACTTTGACCTTCTTTTGACTATGGCAACAGTAATAGCATTTTTACTTGAACAGTAAACAGGTGAAAAAGTATTAGAAAGAAAAAATCCGTTATATGCATTTATCAATTGGTTGCTTCGTGTCTTCTGCAGGGGAAATTTTGAAACTGATAAACATATAGATAGTTGTTATACAGTTAGCTCGATGTAAAAAAACCGATTGCACTGCTACCAAGGAAAAAAAAAATTTTTTTAGTGTTCTTTGCGATACCGCTTTACAAATCTTCTTGGTAGCGATGAACATTCTTACGGCCTATCATATAACGGGCAAATTTATCACAATGGTATTGGCGTACGGTTTTGCAATGCATTTCAAGACCCATGTGTTTTATCAGTGCTTTTCTACGGTCCCAGTGCTTCAATTGCATTCTTCCTAAATGGAGCACCGTTGGGTTGGGCGTTTACACAGATAAACCTTAACCAACCACTTTATCCAATGATATCCAGGTAGATCTTCAATTTATAAAGTTACAACGTCCCATTTAAAGATATGAGTTTTGCTTTCATATTCGGTAAAATCAAAAGTTGCGAGGAACTTTCCCCATCTATTTTCAGCTTATCTCTTTCCCGAAAATTCCTTCCTCTCTGTTTCTTCTCCCCCTTCCCCCTGCTAGTTTTTCAAATTTATTACCGCTCTGATCGCACCATTACCTATTATTCTGAAAGCGACGAGCCCTCCCTTCCTCTGTACAAAACACTTGTCCCATTGTTTTCGATCGCTACCCTAGGTTTAACATTGAAACTTTCATGTTTAAAACAAACTGCACAGCTCCTTCAGTAAAAGTAGAAAGTGGTCAAAATTTTGCATTTCTCAGAGTATTCCAAAACAACCATTCCAAATGAAATACTTTTTAGTACTGCACAAAGAAGCTGTTTCACTGTCAACAGTCAATGGTCCCGAAATGTTGCTTTGGAATCATTATCCGAAAGATGTCTGGAACAGATGTCAGTACTTCTGAAAGACGTGTCAGAAGTTCAACAATTACCTTTGCCAAATTCATTAAAAAGTTCACTTTCAAACCGAGTTGGTAAACCTCGGTTAACTTTACGAATACCCACAATATAAGTTTGATTGACTAAGGCTGTTGAAGCACAGGGGAAGAAACTACAGAAAAAAGAACTTAGAGGCTGACGTCGTTGTTTCTTTCTCAAAATGAAACAAATACCTTACAAACTGCTTATAATGCAATAAATTTAGCGCAAGATTCATCACATAAAATTTTAATGGATAACTAATATTGAAGTAAATAAAATTCGAGTCGCTAGAAATGATCAGTTAAAAAACGTTCTCACACCTGATTCAGTTTCACCCGTGTTTTCTTTCACATTTATACTGCTCTTAAGACTTGATATATATGTATATATATGTACGGCACTTGTCAACCTTCCACTGATCTCGTCAAAAGTTTTCATCCTTTCCCGAATTTGAACTCTTATCTAACAATGCGGTTACTCGCAATAAGTTTTATCTCTTTTCCGAAGCAGTCAAAAAAAAATTACCATTTTTCTTTCTACTACGCTGAGTACTTCTAGTCAACTCACTGTAATTATCAACTCTGCTAACCGCACCAAAAAAGTGTGTACCAAAGATGACGTGAATACCCATCTTTTGCAGTTCAAATGTTTTTCTGTAATTTGTAATAATATTAGACTTATTTGGTAACTGTGTTAAAATAAGATTGTTATTAAAGAATCTACTTTCTTCATAATTCCACACCACTCATACAAAAAAAAGAGAATAAAAAAAAAACAAGACTGAAAATTAAGTGCATTTCCCATGAGAAGCTGGTAGTACAAGTAGACCATATCAGAACATGTTTAAAGCTACGCCTATAACATTCCAAATTAGCAATTTGGAAATTATTTCTTCAATGGCTTTATAAAAATTCATTTAAATGACAAACGCAAATTACCAAAAAGTGATCCCCATAAACAACGCTAACCTACAACCGTTCTTAGGCGCACACAAAGCCCCATACCTCAAAATAATTAAATAAATCTTCTTTGTCCAAAAAAATTTACCGCAAAAACTGATGTTTTTATATGTCTTTATAAAATTCGTCCTGAATCTAACTGGAGAATGACTGCAGAAAAATGAAGAGAGGAAGTGGGCTACAGTTGGCCAAACTGCCTGCACTTCCATTTACGACCTAACTTTAAAATTATACATGGCTAAAAAAATTGGGATTGCTGCTACCCGATTATCAAAGTATCTCCCCTGAACGTATGTTCTGGAACTTCCATATTTGTAGGAGCGGGGCCTTTCCTTATACGGCCTGAAGCGTCGTAGTGAGATCCGTGACAAGGACAGAAGTAACCGCCTAGATATTCTCCTTCATTTGCTGCAAAAATCACTGTGAAAAATAACTAACTACGTTTTCTGTTTCAGCAAAAAAAGTTACAAAGATATTAATAAAAAATTCAGATTATCTAAGGAATAATTTGAACATATAAGAAGTAATCATTACGTATAGGTACACATCCAAGATGAGTGCATACGCCTAAAAGAACCAGCCACTCATCTCTATGAACGCGGTCCTCGTCTTTTTCAGGGTGGCGCAGATCTGAGAGCGGAACACTTCTTTCACGCTCAATCTCGTCTGCTGATCGATGTTTCACAAAAACAGGCTTACCACGCCATTCATAAGCCCTAATCTTCAATGCAGAGAAAATGTTCAAGTTGAAAAATTAATTTCGTTCAATTTTTCAAAGAAAAAAAACCTATATATACATATATAAATATGCATGTATTTACTTATTTATTTACTTGTTTATTTACTTTCAAACATACATAAAACTTCTTTTCTCAAAGACCTGCTTCCTCCATCTTAAAGACGCCAAAAATCGAAAAAAAAGTTAAGTAAATACATAAAAATAAAGAAGGCAACTAAAATTATCAAGCACTAATAATCAAATTCTCAAACCTGTCCTTCCGGTATTTCATTCAAGTCAACTTCGACAGCAGCCAGTGCCATTTGATCTGCCGGTAACCACTTGTATCCCACAAGTTTCTGTACACACTCTTTAGCCGAAACAAGTGCCAGCATACCACCGACTACAAACATTATTTCATGTCATGTTTCCTTTGCAATAAATTAAAAAGTTGCTTTAAGATGTACAGGAATGCTTTGCTTCAAAACTGAAGTACATTACCAGATATCAATACGAAACATAAAACAAAAATAATCTTGAGTCTTTTTCTGTACGAAAAAAAAAATTATTTCATCTGTTCAAAATTAGTAGGCGGAAAATAAAAAGAAACCTCCATAATAAATAGCAGATGGAAGTGCACGTCTAGTATCTTCAGTTTCACTAGCAGGTATGTGAGGATCTAATGTATCTTTTCGACGAACATCGTCAAAAGAGGGGAAACGAACATCTGTGTGTGCAAATCTACGCGCTATCACTAAAAAAAAAAAACATATACCGATAACTTCATAGAGCTCTTCACATCCTCGAATATTATGAATTCTAAGAAAGCGACAGACCACTGAGATTCTTCACAGCGATAGTTGAGGAAAAAGGGTTTCTGAATGTTTCTTCTTCTGCGCTTGGATTTATTTTAGCTATCCCAGCTGTAACCCCTTGGATTTCAGAAACAGCCTTTATCTTTTTAGCAGGAAGTTTCACCGCATCAGCAGCATATCCTAACGATGGAGTCCCGATAATCTAAGTTCAAAAATCATAAAAACAGATTATGCAAATGTGCAGAACAAAATAGTTTAGAAATGTTGAAAAAAAAAAAAACACTTATTGTAAGAAACGGTCTTCAACAAATAGGAAAACATACAAGCTTTGAAGCGAAAGTATTGGATCTGAACATCGCTGCCATTGTCCAATGGTTGGCTGTTCGCTATCTAAATTATCTACTTCAAAAAAGTAAATGAAAAAATAATAGACTTTCACCAAGATCTTCAATAAGAAAAAAAAAAAAAGGACAGAGATAAACTCAACAACAAACAACGCCACTGAATTCACTATCGACAACGTTACAGAAATCACAGCGATATGTTCTCAAAACATAGCCCTAAAGTAAAATTCGTTTCACATCAATAAAACAGAAAACTACAGACAACAAAACACGTGAGTCGAACAGTATTTCGCTGTTTTTGAGATGGTCACCAAACACTCTGTTGTCAGTTTCAGATGTTACAACGTTTTTCAATAGTAAAAGTATTAGGCAATAGAAGTTGTGTCAACTACTTTGGCAAACGTCCAACCATTCAGTCGAGAGGAATAACCGACTGCTGGCAAAGGTCCAACGCAGAAATTTAAAATTTTGATCGTTGGTGACGATGCAGAATTTTCCGCTGCACTTGAAAAATAGTATTTAAAGACAGCGAAATGCCTGCTGCTCTTCTGCTTTCGTGGTGTAATACCACTGTTTTAAAATGGCATGAGACAGTTGTGAATTGCCTTATTTATATATGCATGGATACATTTCTAATTTGGTGTGGATAGTTTCCAGTAGCAAGATCATAATTATGGTGATGCGGTTGGCTGGCAACTTCTAAAGATGCTGGCCATTGTTAAAACTGAATAGTGTTTACCTGACTTGTTTTTGGGAAAATACGGAACTTCCCAAGAGTTATAGCTACCTGCTTGTCGCTGTCATAAGTGGGTTTTGGAGCCCTGATTGAGATATATGTTGAAATGTGACGTTGAAGCTTATTTCCTAAAGGTGTACAAGAACAAAGACCCACAAGGGCGTCCCGGAAGAATATCTATAGTAGCTGTCTTTCAAGTTGAAAAAGGTCATTTAGCCGTGACAAGCATGACAGTCCTGTATTTCTGCTGTGACAGTAAAGTATGTTGAAGAAATTAGTTAGCAATAAATAAAATCTTTTGCACAAGATCATTTTCATAGTCATTTGAAAGAGGTTTCTGTAAAGCCCAGACGACATTGGAAACAGGAACTGTCGCTGTGAGTGGGAACACAACGTACTAGTGCCAACTTAAAAAAAAAAAACGAGGTTACTGCAAAAATAGTTGGTTCGCACGTAGATGAGCCAAAAGCATCTATGTTAGAGCCATTTTTGACCTTGACGACGTTGACGTTTTGATCCGACATGCGCCAGAGATTATCAGGAGACACCACGTGCAGACCCATTTACTGTTCTGCTTCAATCCAGATTGCGCGAGTTTTGAAATTACTAAGCGGACTTCGAAAGAGAGAACATTTGGCGAAGATCTTACCGAAAAAAGAGTTATGTGACAGGGAACGTTAGAACTCTTATGCCATTTAGGTCCTGAAACAGGTAATGCCCCAGAGGACCACGTAATTGTACCACTTCAACGGATTGGAGTGTTAGGCAATCTATATTATTTTCGCTCAGGCACCTTAAGGAGCAACAGAGACTCATATAATGGCAATATTTTTTTCAACAACCCATAATCTACATTTATGGCAGTTGGTTTTCTTTCTTTTTTAAGTTCTAATTGCTGAAGGTGACTTGCCAGCAGTACTACGAAACTGTATGTGTAGCTTCAACACTGAGAAAAATGGCTAATCGCTTTTATCTACACGGATTATCATTCCAGAACTTGAGACTGACTTTTTTCCTGTGAGGCTATAGAAAATAAGTCGTCTTTTACAAATTATGGCAGATTAATCGTAACTCCAAGAATTTTTTTGCAGATTTAATTGATGATCTAATACAGTGATAAAAGGTTATCGAAATTTACAGTAAACCTCCGAAAAAATGTCATTTTTAGCTAAAATTTCTGAAATAGCTAACGGATTCATTTGACTATATAAGTATCGGAACATTTTCGCCTGTGTGTTGTTAATATTTATCCTACTGTGAAAGGATGAGACAAAAGTACAGTTAAAATTTTCATTTCTTTGTCGTTACCTCATACAGCATTTTCTAGCCAAATTTATGTGTATGAACTGACGCATAAATTCACTTTTTGCGAAAGCGATGATCTTGTTTCTGAAATCTGTCCAGTAATCACCGTTTTCAAAATTTAAATTATTTTGGTTGTGTTTAGAAGATGTTCTTATCTCTTCTCAAAATTCATTTATTGTCAAGTTTCCGTTTCTCAACAATTTTTTTTCAAATGACATCTGTAAGAGAAGATAAAGATTTTATCTCTTTAGGTGAGCTTATTACTCTCAACAATGTGACCGAAGAGCAATATCTACCAACAGAAGCTTACACTAAGCGCGCAGTAAATTATAAATTTATTCAAGTGAGGGCTAACTTGGAATAAAAACGAGCAAAACTAAGGCGCAATACAATAGAGATCGACGCCGTACTAAATTGTATACCAGATCAGCCTCGATCAATACTAGCAAAGGCCATCTTGTGGAAATCTATGTTACGAAAACGTTACAAAGACAGCAACAGTGCAGGCAGCTTTATAAAGCGGTAAACTAAGGGATTTTAACGGCAGAGACAGAAGATAACTTTGTATGATCTTGAAGTTTGCTTTTGATTGAACGTCGCATGTACATTTTGCTCTTAGCTTAACACATTTATTCGGTAAAAACTTTTAGTTTCGCGACAGTCTTCTTTCTTAATATTACGATAAGCACGTGCTAGTCCCATATTGAATATCAATCAAAAAAATTTTGTCTAGGTTCTTGCAATTTTGAAACGAGTGCTAATTGTTCAATTGATATTCTGTAAATTTTAATTGTTTTTACATCATCAAGTAACGAAGTAAAGAAATCAGAAATATCATAAGTTAAACGAGGTCGGCGAAAAGAGAATGAACAGTTGCAAAAGTAAAAAACTTCTGAGAGAAATTATTCGCCAAACACCGCTTTTGTTGCTTATGTTCACTGTTTTCTTCTAAACAACGATCTTAATTGTACAGTTATTCCACCAAGACGACATTGAAACACAGAACACAAGCCTTGTTTTCTTGACTTTTATCATTACAAGCGAACAGTGGATGACTTTGCCTTCCGAGCATATTTATCGCTGTTTCGAGAACGCCACTTTAAAAAACCTTTATTTCTCAAAATTAAGTGGAATAATCAGGTTCTAAAGCCATCAGAAGGACTTTCATTTCAGATAGCCAATAATTAATAAAAGTTAAGGGTATATTGGCAAACTGTGTCCATCACTGCTTGCTAAGAAGCTATCTTACAGTAGGCTGCTTAAACTAAACGGTGTGTGGTCGTGTTTGCACACGATAATGCTGAGAGTAGAACCTATTTACTGCTCGTAGATTTGCAACAAAATAACTTGTTCGACTGAATCTGATAAGTCTTTTCTTCCTTTTTCTTTATGAATGCAATGACAGCTGATAATTTTTAAGCCCTGAAGTTTTTATCGGCTAAAAACGGAAGAACATTGAGAACGTTAGGATGAATCACAAATGCCGTTGTCGCTACGATGCCCACAGATTTGCTTGTAGTTTACTTTCATAGCATTCGGATACGCCAAGTTGGTACAGAGTACAGCGTTTTGGCGACAGTTTGAGGCACTGATGCACTCTGCACACAGCTTTAACAAAAGGAAAAAGAAGAGTTATGAAAAAAAAATAAAAAAGTTTAAAAAATCAATATATTTTTACCTCTACTTACTCAGCAATTTCATTTCAAATTTTAGGTGTTACAGATAGTTCACTGCAGTAAAAAAAATCGTTGTATGCTGCAAAATTTCATTTTAGTAACTAGTAAAAATACAGCATTAGAATTTCACTTGTAGAGTAACAATTTTCTATCACTTAAAACACGACTTGTTCATTCTATATTGCTGTTCCAGCAGCAAGAGAAGTTAAACGAAAATATAAAGATCTACAGATTTTTTTTTTTTTTGCTTTAAATGTAGGAATATTCGTTTTTTACGTTACTGGGAGTTGTTAAACTTGTCGAAGCTTTGGTTATTGTTGAATCAAGTAGCTAAAACAGATATCGTAGATCCCGTTACTTTCTCACAATTACCACTCTTACAAATCTCTCCAATATTGCAGCCGACATTTCCGCCTCAGTAGCAGGAATCGGTAAGTTAAGTGCGTCCAAAATCACATTAATTGCCGGTTTCACAGAAGCAGTTATCACCGGCACAGCTATCTGACGTTCCTGTATTGCACTCTACATTACAAGAAGCTTCCCGTCTTACCGTACCAACGCATTTTCGGTCTTCTCGGTAAGGATATGGTGGGCCATCTCCACCCAAACAGACACATCTTTTTAATATTTTGTTAAATGTCCGCGTTGCGGAAATTGCTATCGATAACACAGACTTAAAGAAGAATGTGAAAGATGTTTGAAGAAAGGTTGAAAGGAGTAAAGGTTTAAAAGGGATCTTGTAATGAAACGTCCTTTCTGAGAAAAAGCTAACATTCGTTGCTGCCTTCCGACAAAATAAGATTTCGGTTTTTTTATTTATACTTTTTGATTAAAATGATCAAGTCTCTTTTTTTTTTGCTTCATTTCTTCCACACTGAAAAGCTATTATTTTTCGTAGTTTGACTGCTGTCGTCGTATTACTGAAATCGATGAAAGTGAAAATTGGACAAAAAAAAAGTGTCTTCTCAGATCTGCTCATTACTGTTTGTGATTTGTAATAAAAAAGTTTTTTTGCATTTTCAGGCAGTTTGCTGATGTTATTAATGCGTTTTTTTTTGGAAGCGCTTCTTTCTACAAAGCTTTGGCTTAATGACTTTAAACTTTTTTGAGTATCTAGAACCTGAAATTTACCATAGGTGCTGTGTAACACTAATAAGTGACCAAGTCTTGCTCAAACTAGTTTATTTCTCACTCTATGCGAACAACAGGATAAGTCGGAGAATACTAAAACTTTTCTTTACTGCAATACAACTCAAAAAAAAATTTTTTTAATTACCGTAACCGTGCTGAAGCATTTTGTTGTA